TCAAAAAAAGACATCTTAATAGTAGAATGATAATTATTATTGCACCAAAATTCAACTAGTGATAGTCATCTACTCTAGTTTTTTGGAATTGATGAAGTCATACAGTGAAGATAAGTTCACAAACATCTATTAATCATTTTTTACTAGCCATTTGATTGTGGATGATAAGTAGTAAAGAAGTGTAAAGAGACTCTTTGCAAAGCAAACAACTCCTTTCAAAATGTACTAAAAAAGACATCGAAAACAATATTGTGAGGTAAACCATGCAATTTGAATACATGATCCTTGAATGCTTGAGCTACAAATTAAGCTATATAAGGATGAGGAAGGGTAATAAAATGGATATATTTAGTCAAGCAATCTACCACCACCATTATCACACTCTTTCCTTAAGAAATTGGCAATCCATGCATAAAATCCATTGTAACATCGGTAAAAATTGCTTGAGGAATTGGCAATAGATTCAACAAACTAGGGTTGGTAATTTTTTTATATCTACATTACCGACACACTAGACATTACTAATATATTCTCTAACATATTTTGCTAACCCCTTTCATTCAAAATAATAGATAATTCCTTTATGTTAACCTTAATTCTCGGGTTTCCTCCTATAATAATGTCATAAACAAAAACATCAAATATTTATAAAAATCTACATCAAACCCTATCATCGTTTTACCTTTCTTGAGTAGTTTGTCATTAGACAAGATATATTTAGTATGAATAGAAGCATTCACCTTTAATTGGTCAATGAGGGTCTTTAAATAAAGATCTTGGTACCATGAAGACATAACCATAAGTAGAATATCGGTTGAAACATAAGATATGGCCATAACATATAGTTTTGTATTAGGTATTCTAGATAATGCATATGTCACTTTGTTCTCTCTACCTTTTTTACACACAATGCCATAATGATACCCCTATTAACTTTACTAAACATATAAGCCGAGATACAATATGAAATTTTTATTCTAATAAGTATTAAAGACTTTGGTGATCTATTCGATAATGAAGTTGTCTATCTCTCAAATATTGATGCCATTTTTTTTAATTACAAACAATATGGCAAGGAGTTCCTTTTCATAGATGGATAGAGCCGGGTGTTTTAGAGATACTACTTTACCGATATAAGCTATAGGATGTCCTTTTTATATTAACACTACTCCTAATCCCAATCCCGATATATCGGTTTTAATTACAAACTCTTCAACTAGATTAGGTAATGCTAACATATGAGTATTCATCATAACTTGCTTTAATTATTGAAATACAGCTTTGCTTAAGAATTCTTGTTGAAAGTATCCTTCTTTAATAAGTTAATGGCACGGATAACTTCTCATACCCTTGAACAAACCTTCGATAGTAACCCGTTAACCCCAAGAATCCATATAGTTATTTAAGATTTTGAAGTTGAGGTCGAGCTTATACTTCTACAATCTTTTAGTCATTAGTTTGAATTCTTGTAGCAGATATGAAGTAGTTAAGATATTTCACTTTTAGAGTACAAAAGGTGCACTTGGATCTCTTTGTAAATAAAACTTTTTTATCAAAAAAATATAAAGAGTTTTTATGCAAATATTCTTAATTCTCTTTTAAATTTTTACTATAAACAAAGATATCATCAAAGAAAATCAAAACATTTTTTTTTTTTTGTAAAAGAGGTCAAAAAATGTGATTCATAAGACTTTAAAAGGTACAATGGGGATTCAAAAGACCAAATGGCATTACAAGATACTCATAATGACCATTATAAGTTTTAAAAGTAGTTTTATAGATTTTAGGTTCAAATACCCAAACTTGATGGCATCTTGTTCTTAAATTTGGTTTTGATAACACCACAAATCCATGCAATTCATTTAAAAGTTCTTCAATAGCTGAAATAAGGGACTAGTCTATAATGGTAAGCTGGTTCACCATTCTATAATCAACACACATCCTCTAACATCAATCATTCTTTTTCACCGAATAATCGAAGAAGAAAAAGGACCTAGGTATTGGACATAATTATTCGATTCCCGATATGTCCTATACCATATTCTCTATTACATCTTTTTGGATAGAAGGATAGCAATACGATTTCATCTTAATTGGCTTAGACCTTTCTTTTAACACAATTATATGATAATGATATCTTTTAGGATGTAATCTTTTTTGTTCTTTAAATACATCACAAAATTCATCTAACACATTTTGTGATTCAATAGTTATTGGCTTATTGACTTCTAATTCAAACAATTCCATTTGATCCTCTTAAGGATTTAACAACCAATTTAATTGGAACTAATTTAGTTATTCTTGATGACAAATTTTTAGTTCCATTTTTATTTCCTCGTAAGTTTCAAAACTTTTAACAAATTTCCCTTTTAGTACCACTATATGCACTTCCCATAAGAATTTCATCTATAAAATCTTAAAGTTCCACATTATATTCCTCAATTCATATAACCATTTTTTTCTAATGTCCTATCATACATCCTTAATGGCAACACAAAAAATTTTATTTTAAAAGCATTTTTGTGCATTTACCACCTAAAATCTTCGCATACTAGATCACACATAATCTCGGTTCCCTAGCTAATTTGATGGTTACTAAATTGATCTTAGTCATTTCATATCTTCTTTACTTAACAAGCTTGATGTTTAAAAAGTTGTGAGTGCTACTAATATCAACCAAAATATCCAAGCTATATCTTTTTTTCTTTCATCCAACTATATATTTTTTTAATCGATTTCCTTCAAATAAGCACTCATTGAATTGGGTCTAGTTCTCTAACACAATTTTCCTCATTATCATCTTTACAATCAACCATTACCGATTCAACATTCTCTCATCCTTCCTCATTTTCCTCAACTTTTAACATATATAATTGCATTCCTTTATATTTGTGTTCAAACAAGTATTTATCATCAAAAAAATAACATTGTCCCTTCAATCTTCGTTCTTTAGGTTCCTTATTACTAGGTAGTTTTCTAGTTTTGAATATTAAATTAATTTTTTGAATTTGATAAGGTAAGGTTAATAGGCCTTTTTTTTTGTAAGGTTATTGGTAATTGTGTTTGGAAATGAGTTTGGTAGTGGTAGATTTGTGTAGTTGTATGGTGCTCTCATAAGTAAAAGTTTGCTAGCAAAAGTTAAGAAATTAGTAACGGGTTTGTAATAGAACATTGATCCGAGTATTAAAAGTATTTGGGTTGATTTCTTTTAGGTTAGCTAAAGAAATCATATCTTTAAGGGTTTTTGGTCTCAATATTAGTATAGTTATACTTGTAATTCAGGTTTTAAGCTTCATAAGAAAAAAAACTAACAATATTCTCCTCTAGTAATGACAACTTACTCACTAAAGATATGAGCCTTTTTAGATGATTTTGCACATCCCTATTCTGTTTAAGGAACATTAACTCAGCCATAGGATCATCGTAAACGGTTGTCCTAAATCTTGTATTCAAAGCATCAACATACCCTTCCCAATTAATTCTAACATGCTCTCTTTTTAGTCTAACAAAAATTTGATACCACTCTAATGTTTTCCCTTGTAGATGAATCGAAATTAAGCTAACTTTAGATTTTTTAGGCATTTTATCAATATCAAATAATCACTCATACCTCAAGATCTATCCTTCTAAATCCTCACCCTAAAACCTAAAAAATAAAATCCTAGACAATCTAGTATTGGCTTGATATCCAACATTGAAATTGTGATTTATGCCCTTAAGATTCACATTTCTAACCTCATTATTCCAACCATTTTTTCTACTAGATTAATATTTTCTTTTTGAGTTTGGAATCTCACACCAAGATCAACATTAGTTTCATTCCTGTTAACACACAAACTTCATAGTATCTTTTTAAATTTTTCCATTTCCATAGTATGTTGGTAAGCCATATCATCTAGTTCTTAGAAAGATTAGAGATTACTAGATTTAAATGTTTAATCGATGCTTCGTTTTCCTTGAATCATTTTTTGCTTTCACCATTAGAGTTCACCCACTCACTATAGGTGTCAAGATTTGTTTTTGTTATCAAATGATATTGTTCACAATATAGAAAAAGAAGAACTTAAGATTGAATTATAAATCTATTGTATTAAATGTGTAAATGCAAGAAATATATGCAATGAGTTTGTAATATAAGAAATGTAAAGAATAATATAAAAATTATTGTACAAAGAGAATTTATCCAAAAAGAAATCAAAGAGAAAGAGTATTTTTACAAATGATACAATACAAACTTCATCTTCTTATTATTCTCTCTTTATAGACTAATTGTTTAACTAACTACTAATAGTTTAACTAATTATTCTAACTAACTATGTAACGAGTTAACTATTTCTGTTTCCATAAGCTTCCTCTTGTTAACTCATTTCCATATAAGCAACATTATGACAATTTTTGCCATCTCATCACTCCACATCAGTGCTAACATCCACGTCAACCTTACTAACATTTATTCTCTAACAAGAGAGCACCTAGGCTTCGAGTTTGGAATCCAAGCTCGATTTAGCCTAGTCTTAAAAAAAAATCAAAATGGAAACCCTAGAATAACCCAAGATATAACCATATACATACCTTATCTCATTTTAAATAGGAAAAAGACGGACACCTAGTAAAAAACCCAAGACACGTACAAAAAGAAAAATTCTAAAAGAGTCTAACCACTTTTAAATTTTAAGTTATTTTAGGTTGAGTTTCTAAAAAATTTTATTGGTTTTGAAGATAGCTAAACTTTAAAATTTTTGAAATTAATTCCATCCATAATTTTTTTTGTTAGAAATAACGAAAATGTGCACTCGTAAGTCACATGGCTAAAAAAAAAAACTTGTTAGCTTAGACTTATCTTTGATCGTGAGCTTTTTGATAAAACACAATCACCTGAAGCTTTCCTTCAAGGAATCCCATGGTAAATGATAGTAAAATTAGACTACTCGTACTTGATCATAACCTTATTTGGGTCAACAACAATGAACAACATATGGATGGTTAAAGAAAGAGAGGCCATGGCCGATGTGGTTACGATTGTAAGGTCTAAAGGATATGCGGGATTGGATATGGATATGCCTAGGTATTGTGCTCTAACTTGTTAGAGATCAAATTGAGGTTCCTTGGGTTTGACATTTAGGATTATTACAAGAAAGTCAACCATAATTAAAAGAGAAATGAAGAAAAAGAGAAGGAAGAGGCAACAACAACAACCTTTGAAAGAGGTCGATGAAGATGATGTTAACGGGCGAGTATAGGTGGTGGTGGTTAAGGTTTTGGTTTTGGTTTTGGGTTCTTGCCATTGTTGAGGTTATTATTTGGTGGTATTTTCTATTAGTCAAAATTATAAAGTTCATGGATCTTCAAAACCAATAAAAAATTTCAAAAATTCAACCTCAAATGACTTTAGATTTAAGGGTGGTTAGGTCCTTTTATTAAAAAAAAAAATAAACACTCTAGCAAACTCGATAGAAAAAAAAAAAAGAGGAGAAAGCTAAAAGACGCTCCGCTAGCACACGCACTAAACCACTAAGAACGATGACCGAATACAATTCTTACATCGCTGGAATGAAGCCTATCGGACCCCCATAGAGCATACACGCTCCGTTTTTGTTTTTGTCGTCCGTTGTATCTTTTTCTTCTAGTTTGGTACTCGAAGTTCGATTTAGGTAATCAAACTCCTTCATTTTCAATTTTGATTCGATTTTCATACAAAATTGATATATTCCATGATTTTTTTATTGAACCATGTTCTAGTAGCAATAATTATGTGATTAATAAAATTTTTAGGTGATTTATTGAATCAAAATTACTTGATTTTAAACCTAATTAAAGATAACATGATTTTTTAAGTCCTTGATTGTATTAACCTGTGTTGTTAAACATAATTTGAATTCTGGAATTAATTTTGTTACTATTCTTACAGTGTAGTCTTTAATTCCTCTTATTTATTATAATTTAGTCTCATATTGGCAAATCAAGATAACAAGTCCTTATCCTTTATTTTATTTGTTAACCTTTGATTTTATTGTTTGATTTGACAAGATTATGTTGATTTTTAATAACTTTGGCTGATTTATTGGTCGATTGAATGGATTTGCAACTTGATTAATTGATAATATATTTAAAATAGAGGCCGAATTGACAAATTATTGCAAACAATGATTGTTTACGTTTATTTTTATTTGAGCGGGTTTTTTATGTTATCTCCATCTAAATTTTTAGTATGTTTCAAATAAATGTGTTTCTAAATTATATTTCGGATTTCATAATTTTATAATATTATTTGGTATTTATCTCCGTTTATGCATACTTGTGATTTTACATAACCAACAAAAAAAAAATGATTAATGTATTTTTGTAAACTCGTTAGATATGTAAATGTGATTTTTGTGTGAATTTTTAATATGTGATATTTTGAGGTTTTATCCTATTTTGATTTTTTTTTATTTTAATGTTATTATTGTTTTTTTATTCATTAGGGAATAAAGGGTTAAACATGCTTGTGTAATATATAATTTTATTTTACTTAATAAAGTTCCCGAAGAACTATTAATGGGTAATGAAGCCAACAAAGGTCTAGCATTTTTTTTTTTTTTATGATGGGAAAGTAAAAGTGATCAAATAGGCCAATGATATTTTGATCTTACTTCCCATGGAATTGTCGTTATGTAACATGTGAATTTGTGTTTTTATGCATTTGTTTGTGTAATGTCAGTCTAGGTCATTATAAGTGAAGTAGGATCAAAACATGAGACTGATTTTGTTCAAATAAAAGGGTTTTTTTTTATTTACATATCTTTTTATTTGTTTGTTTGTTTATTTATTTTTATTATAATTATTAATATCTTTGTTGTTTAGTTTAACTTTAAGTTTTATTTGTTATGTGCCACTAATTTAATCTTTTTGCAGATTTGATTCTAAATTAGTTTTGGGTTCTAATTATTTATTTTTAAATAGTTTGGTGGGCCGATATGAGCTCGAGGCCCATGCTTATATTGTTTGAATATTTTATATTATGAACTTTTTGTTATATTATGACATGGTTTGATAGGAGATTTGAGCCTATGGTCTATAATCATTTTATTTTTTATGTATTGTGTTGGACGGTTGAAGATGACAAATTTATAATTTATTATTTATATTTTCAATTATATTTAATTTATTCTCTGTAATTAAAGATAGAAAACAATTTATTTGGCGTCTCATGATGCTTGGCCTTTTCCTAGTTTTTAATTTTTTTCATGTTAATTATAAATTTGACATGACATAACATGTGATTTTTTTTGTCACATTATTTTTTTATCGAAAAATTAGTTAAAAAATTCTTTGAGAGACTATATTAAAAAAAATTAAAAATAAAACAATATAATAAATAAATAAAAAGAATAGAAAGATTATATTTTAAAAATATAAAGAAAATTAGAAGAACGTTTCTTGAAATTAATTCCATTATTTACGCCAACGATCTCTCTAATGGCTAACGATGTGTTGAATGTGGTTCGTAAATGAAGGGAACACCTAGATTTGAATGTGTGACCAAACGTGTCACCAATAAAAGATATTGGGACCGGATAAATGCTATTTCGCTTCCAAACATCTTGAATTCAGTGGAAAACGGACCATGTGTTGTGGGCACCAGGGTGTGAAAATATGGTAATTGACAGTGACCTCTGGTCTATTTCGCTCCCAAATATCTTGAATTGGGTGGATCTCGGGTAATGTGTTGTCAATATCACCAAACACCAAAAAATGTTTGATGATAATAAAAATTCTATCGTTTAAAAAAATTAATAACTCAAAATGCATTATTTATTTTATATGATAAGATCAAACACCTTTTTTTTTCTTTTTAAGTCCATCTATTCATATTGAACTGGTTTATATTCATTCCTTATGTTAATCTCTATCCATAGTGAAGGATCCAGCAAATATGCCAACTAAATAAATTTGTTTGTTTGTTGTTTCACATTGTTTGTTTTCTGATTTCTCACCCTCATGAAACTTTCATTTTTTATTTTTATTTTATTTGTTTGCCTTGAGAGAGAGAGAGAGAGAGAGAGAGAGTGAGTGACATTTCTTGGACAGGTACTGTCAGGACGTGAAAAGCCAACGTGCTATGTTATAAACAATTAAAACACGTATAGGAACCAAGAAAGTAACCCAAAAGGATGAAAAGTAGAAAAGGAATGGTGAAAATAAATGTGAAGGAAAGGAAAGGTAAAGCTGGAAAACTGAAGTAAGACAAAAATGCTAGTGCCTTAAATAAGCTCCTTGAAAGTCAATAAAGTGAGTGCTCTTCATATTTGGGCGATCGGGATCCATCAGCCATCAGGCCCATCACCTCACATCTGGCTGATGCAGTGACTTCATGTCATGGTTACTTTTATTTGTCTAGGTAAACTAAGTGAAATCAAATTTACAAATGTTTGTCATGACTAAAAAAAATAGGTAATTTACAGAAAATTCACGCAAAAACTAAGTCGAAAGCTAAGAAGTTCCAAAACCACTCAAACTTTTGATCACCAAACATTTACCTTCAGCATTTTCCATTGCTCCAAACAAAGCCTTAAGCTATTGATGATGTTATAAAAAGTAATTATTATATTGTACTTTCTAACACAAATTGGAAACATTTTTAACTTCAAATTGCGCGAATTCAAGTTATATCAGGAACTATATATTAAACTATAAATGTGGTATCTTTACTATCAACCATTATTGATTCAACACTCCCTTCTCCTTCCTCTTTTTCCTCCACTTCTAACACATACAATTGCTTTCCTTTATATTTGTATTTGAAAAAGTATTTATCATCACAAAAATAACACAATCCCCTCAATCTTCATTTATCCAGTTTCTTATTGCTATGTAGTTTTCTAGTTTTGAATCCCAAAATTACTTTTTTTGAATTTGAGAAGGTAAGGCTAACATGCCCTTTTGCATGGTAAGGTTATTGGTAGTTGTGTTTAAAAATGAGTTTGATAGTGGTAGATTTGTGTGGTTGTGTGGTGCTCCCATAGGTAAAGTTTTGCTAGAAAAAGTCAAGAAATTAGTAACATGTTTACAATTGAATGTTGATCCATTATTCAATGAAGTTGGATTGATTTCTTGTAGTTTAGCTAAAGAAATCTCATCTTTAAGGGTTTTTTATCTCAACATTTATACGGGTATACTTACAATTTAGATTTTACGCTTCCTATAAAACAATTAACAATATACTCCTTTGGTAATCACAACTTATTCATTAAAGATATGAACCTTTTTAGATGATTTTATGCATTCTTGTTCTTTTTAAGGTGCATTAACTCGGCTATAGGATCATTATAAACTACTATCCTAAATCTTATGTTTAAAGCATCGGCATACTATTCCTAGTTAAGTCTAACATGCTCTCCTTTCATTCTAACAATCGATGCCACTCTAACGTTTTTCCTTTCAAATGAATTAAAGTTAAACTAACTTTAGATTCTTAGGTGGTTTATCAATATCAAAGAATCGCTCATACCTAAAGATTAATCCTTCCAAATCCTCACCCTCGAACCTAGGAAATTCAATCCTAGACAATTGAATATTAGCTTGATATCTAGCATTAAAATCATGATTTCGACATTAAGATTCACATTTTTAAACTCATCAATCAACCATTTTATCCTAGATTAATATTTTCTCTTTGAGTTTGGAATCTCACACCATGATCAACATTAGCTTAATTCCTATTAACACGTAAATTTCTTATCATCTTTTTAATTTATGCCATTTCCACAAGTATATTGATAAGCCATACATTCTTGTTTCTTAGAAAGAACAAAGATTATCTAATTTAAATGTTCATTCGATTTTTCTACTTTTCTTGAATGATTGTTTCCTTTCACCATGATAGTTTACCCACCCTCTATGAACAATGGCAGACGCAGGACTAATGTTCACGAGGGCCAAATAAATTATTATAGTCATGATCGAATTTTATGGACCAAATAAGGTTAGAAAGTTGGTTAATTTAATTACCTTTTAATTTCTCTCTTTAATTAGTGATTTGACATAAAATCTTCCACCATACTTTCATCTGTACTTTCTCACTTAATTTTGGAAGGTTAAACACTCCAACTTTCTCTCTTTTTGTCTCCATTAATTAACCTCTCTTACCACAAAAATTGAACACTTGGCATATTAAACATAAAAGAAATAAAAAGGAAAAGTGTAGTATTAAAATTGGATAAAAAGATGAAACATTGCCATTATTTCTAGCTAAAAATCCATGCCCTTCAAAAAGAGGAGAGAAAAACATGAGTTTGAGGGAAAGAAAGGACAAACAGAAAGGGAAGAAAGAAAGGAAGGAGAAGAAAAAGGCTAAGAAATCTTAACCAAACACACATCATTGTAAGTAAGTTTCTTTTGGTTTCATTTTAGTTATATTTATGCTTTAAGTTCTCTTTTACATGTTTAATTTATGGGTTTTTATTTTAAGCCATGTAATATGTGGTTATGGTAGTTTGTGTTAATTTAAAATTTTGATTTTTGGTGATGGATTTATGATGTTTTGATGATGAATTTATTTTGAATGTTAGATGTGTATTTTATGGTAAACTTTAGGTTAGAATGTGTAAGTATATCATGTATATGTATGATAATGGATGGTTATACTATATGTGACGAGAAATATGTTTTAAAAATTTTAAAAGAGAATTTTTTGAATTTTAGGGGTGAAAAATTCCAAACTTTGCATGATTTATTTAGGGATCTTAGAGTGATTTCTAAGTAAAACTTAAAGAATAAAACTTATTCATCTATGTATCTACTAGCTCTCTGTAAACGTTCATGATTTTTAGATCTACATATAAAGAGTTATGGCCGATTTGGTATGGATCGTTTGGATGTACCACATGCTGAAAAAATTTTAGTTCCAAAATTTGTGTGATTTATTTAGGGATCTTAGTGTCTACTAATTCTCTATAAAATTTCATAATTTTTAGATCTATATATAAAGATTTATGGTCGCATTGGTGTAAATCATTTGGATATACCACCGTTGAAAATTTTCGAGTTTAGAGAGAAGGATTTTCGAAATCTAATGGAAAGAAATGAGTTTAGGTAATTAAAATTGATTAGTTAAGGTGTTTATTTAACCTAAGTGTTTATTTAGACACCTAAGCCACCCTAATATAACCATATGGGTTTGAAAGATATGTATGATTGGGCTTAGATTTAAAATAAAGTGGACTTGGAATAAAACATATGGACTTGGTCTAAAACAAAGTGGGCTTGGACTAAAATAAAAAGGGGTTTGGATTACAATCAATGGACTTGAGTTAGAATAAAAATGAGCTTGGATTAAAAAAAATAGAATTGGATTAAAACAAATAGACTTGGGCTTAGATTAAAAATAAATGAGCTTAGACTAAAATAGAGTGGGCTTGGATTAAAATAAAATGAAATAAAATTAAAATAAATGAGCTTGGATGAAAATAAATGGACTTGGATATCCTAAGAACACTTAGTGGACCTTAGTACTAAAATAGTTAAGTTGGATCATACCATGGAAATATTGATGAAGTCCTAAGTGTGGATTGAATTTCTAAAATAGTATGGACATAAATAGTTTGGTGCCTATGAGATATGAAATGTGGTTCATGGTACATGAAATGGATTAACCCTATTAGAAGGGTCTTGAATTCCTTGTGTGAACTCAATGGTATGGAATCGACGGGTTTAGTACCCATGGCATGGTGGAATATGGTTCATGATACATCACGTGCATCATATGCATATAAAAATTGATTAAATTGAGAAAAATCATTGAGTAAAAAACGATGAGGTTTGGTAATCGAATCGAATGAAAATTGGATAGGTTTGATAACCTACCGGAAAAAAGGGATATTAGCGATCCAGTTGTGAGCGTACTCTAAGTCGTGTGCCTACACTATTAGACAAAGGATCCCCACTAACGAGTAGCTACAACGAAGGATAATATGTTATAGCGAGAAGGTGAACTGTAGTCCACCCGGATTAAATATAGAGTAGACTTCCTAATACCTAAGGTACTCGAAAATAAAATTTGATGAGTCGAAGTGGGAAAAGTCGGAAGATCATTACATATCACGTGCATCACCCTACTAACCGAACTTTAGCTCACTCTGTGTTTATTTCATGCCTTGACGAGTAAATGTGATACTAATGCCGATAATGAAGTTATCGATTCCTTCCGAAAAAAGGCTCATTTGTGACGCGAAAAAAAAATTATAGGATTTGCTTTTGCTTGTAAATTACATTTTGTAATTTTTGTAATGATATTCAGTACATTGGTATGTGTATGAGATTAAATTTGAGACTTCGGTCTCTAAATTGTAGTGCACCCGATTACGCCTTTTACGTAATCGACAAAGGAGCTGGAGGCGCCACAATGGTAGTCGTAGAAGCCGAGAGAGTAAGAATAAGTATTATCACTCTATACACGGATTGATAACTTTCAAATTTTCTTATCTTATCAACCATTGACACAAATGAGATATAGTTGACAATGTTTCAAAATCAAGAAGATTTCATACATGATCAAAATGCTCAAATTGCATCCTTAATTGCAACATTTCATGATTGACAAAATCTTGAGGGTAAAATTTTTACACCAACTTACAATTGTCATAATCCTATTAAGAATGAGTAGATTTGTTGTGTGATCATTGAATCTATTATTTAGTTCTTGTAATTGAGAATCTATTATAATATTGAAGATGTCGGCTTTGTAATGATACTCAACTATAATTACATTAAACATATTCATTAAACTAGAAATATATTTTAAATGAGAACTCTAACGAGTATCTCGAACCCCTTTGTAATGTCTCAAACCCGTTATTAAATGAATTAAAAATATATTAAGGATGTATGAAAACTATTTTGTGGGCATAGGATAGTTGCCATGATAATGCTAGAATATTCTATACACTTAGGATAATTTTTCTATGCTAAGTGAATATTTTATCCGTTTTTTATTACATGAATAGTAATTTTTATGCAAAATAAATGCTTTAAGTATTTTAAATATGCATGAAAAATATTCGTTTGCATAGAATATTTGCTAGAGGGGTGCCAGATTGTTGTGTCATTGGGTGAATTTTCCGATATTTAGTGAAGATTTTCGATGCATGAATAATGCTTTTTCATACAAATTAATTATTTTAAGTATTTTAAATATGTTTAGAAATTATCTAATGGCAATAGCAAAATCATTAAGGAGGTGTATGGATATTCTATGAACTTGGGCAAATTTTTACATGCATAGAGAATATTTTTTTTATAGAAATAAGTGTATTTTTACACTTATTTAAGCCCTCAAATGAATTATTTTATGTAATAATACACTCATTTATCCATAGGTTAATTAAAATTCCAATTGAAGCATTCTAAAAAAATACCAATTAAAGCATGAATTAGGATGGTGTCATATTGAAAGTAGAATTGTAACAAAATAAAAAAGATGATAAAAGACATAGGATGTTCCATGGAAAAAAAAAATTGGAGGGGGACCGGGGCCTCCGTAACATTCTACGTGGGTCCGCCCCTACCACGAGTGCTAAGATTTGCTCTATGACCAATTGATAAATGTCATAAATCTCAAAAAAGAACTCAAAATTGAATTGTAAATCTATTGTATTAAATGTGTAAATGCAAGAAATACATGTAATGAGTTTGTATTATAAAAAATGTAAAGAACAATATAAAAATTATCGTATAGAGAGAATTATCAAAAAAGAAATAAAAAAGAGAGTATTTTTACAAATGATCCAATACAAGCTTCTTCTTTTCACTATTCTCTCTTTATAGACTAAATGTTTAACTAACTACTAACAATTTAACTAATTATTTTAACAAACTCTCTAACGAGTTAACTATTTATATTTCCATAAGCTTCCTCTTGTTAACTCTTTTGCACGTAAGCGGCATTATAACGACTTCGCCATCTCCATTAGCATTAACATTCAAGTCGGCCTTACTAACATTTATTCCAAGCTTCAAGGCACTGGAATCCAAGCCCAATTAAGCCTAGTCTTAAAAAAAATCAAAATGGAAACACTAGAATAACCCTAGATAGAACCACATAAATACCTTGTCTCATTTCAAATAGGAAGAAAACGGACACCTAACAAAAAGCCTTAAACACATAAAAAAAAATCTAAAAAAGTCTAATCACCTCCGAACTTTAAGTCATTTGAGGTTCGGTTTCTAAACTTTTTTCATTGATTTTGAAGATCTCTAAACTTTATAATTTTTAAAATTAAGTCCATCCATTATTTTTTTCCATCATAAATAATAGAAAACATACATCGTAAGTCATATGGCCGACTTTTCCACCTTAAAAAAACTTGTTAACTTCGACTTGTCTCGATCGTGAGCTTGCTAATAAAACCCGGGCATTGAAGTTTTCCTTAAAGGAATCCCATGGTATATGACAATAAACTTAGACTCGCTGTACTTAATCATAACCTTATTTAGGTTAACAATAACAAACAATAGATGGATGATTACAAAAAGCGAGACAATGGTTGGTGTGGTTGCGGTTGTAGGAACTAGAGGATATGTAGGATAATTTTGGCAAGAAAATTCGGGAGAGGGAAAGAGAAAAGAGAAAGAAAATTAAAGGGTAGCCAAGTCGACCCATTTTTATACCAACCTAAAATTTTATTTTATTTATTTTTACTTAATTATTATTCTTAGGTTGGGTTATTATATCGTGTATTATACTTCAACTTGTTGAAGAATGAATCGAGGTTCCTTGGGTTTGACAATCAAGATTACTATAAGAAAATCGACCATAATTAGAAGGGTAATAAAGGAAAAGAGAAGGAAGAGGCAATAACCTTTGAAGAAGGTCGATGAATATGATGTTGTTGGATGGTATGGGTGGTGGTGGTGGTGGTTTTGGTTTTGGGTTCGCACCAACATTGAGGTTATTGTTAGGTGGCATTTTTTGTTATCCAAAATTCTAAAGTTCATGGATCTCCAAAACTAATAAAAAAGTTTAAAAACTCAACCTCGAATGACTTAAAATTTAGGAGTAGTTAGATCTTTTTAGCCAAAAGAAAAACTATAGCAAACTCTAACACAAGAAAAGAATACATAATAAAAAAAGAGGAGAAAGTCATGGCATAACCTCTAAAAGTCGTTCCATTAGCACGCGTATCGGACCACCTTGGAGCGACTACCGAATACAATTCTTACATTGCTTGGAACGAAGCTTATCGGACCTCTATGGAGCCTACACGCATCGTCTTTGTCTTCGTTATCTATTGTATCTTTTTCTTCTAGTTTGGTACTCAAAGTTCAGATTTAGGTAATCAAACCCCTTCATTTTCATTTTTTATTCAATTTTCATGCGAAATTGTTATATGACATGATTTTTTTATTGAACCATGTTCTAGTAGCAATAATTAAGTGATTAGTAAATTTTTTAGATGATTTATTGAATCAAAATTACTTGATTTTGGACCTAATTAAAGATAAAATGATTTTAAGTCCTTGATTGTATTACCCTGTGTTGTTAAATAGAATTTGAATTCTAGAATTAATTTTGTTACTATTCTTACGGTGTATTCTTTAATTCCTCTTATTTATTATAATTTAGTCTCGTATTTGTAAATCAAGATAACAAGTCCTTATCCTTTATTTGTGTGTTAACTCTTGATTTTGTTGTTTGATTTGACAAGAATATGTTGATTTCTAATAACTTTGGTCGATTGAATGGATTTGAAAGTTGATTAATTCATAATATATTTAAAACAAGGGCCGAATTGACATATTATTACAAACGAGTGATTATATATGTCTTTTTTTTTCTTAACTTAAGTAGGTTTTTTATGTTATTTTTATTTGAATTTTTAGTATGTTTGAAATAAATGGGTTTCTAAATTATATTTCTTATTTCATAATTTTATAATATTATTTGGAATTTATTTTGATTTATTTTATTTTATGGATATGTGTGATTTTGCATAACCAACCAAAATAAATTGATTAATGTATCTTTGGAAGTTGTTAGACATGCCCATGTGATTTTTGTGTGAATTTTTAATATGTGATATTTTAAGATTTTAACCTATTTTGATTTTTTATATTTTATTGTTGTTATTTTTTTTATTCATTCGGGAATAAATGGTGAAGCATGCTATGTAATAAATAATTTTATTTTACCTAATAGAGTCCTTAGAGAACTATTGATCGATAATGAATCTAGTATTTTTTTTTTTTAATGATGGGAAAGTAAAATTGATCAAATAGGCCAATGATCTTTTGATCTTGTGGAGGCCAATTACTTCCCATGGAATTGCCATTATGTAATATGTGAATTTGTGTTCTTGCATATTTGTATGTGCAATGTCGGTATCTAGGTCATTCTAAATAGCGCAGGATTAAAACATGAGATTACTTTGTTCAAATAAAATGCTATTTTCTTATTTACTTATCTTCTTATTTGTTTGTTTATTTTTATGATAAATATTACTATCTTTGTTATTTAGTTAAGCTTTAAGTTTTATTTTCTATATGTCACCAATTTAATGTTTTTGCGGATTTAATTCTAAATCCATTTTGGGTTATGGGTTCTAATTATTTATTTTTAAATGATTTGATGGGTTGATATGAGCTCGATGCCCATGTTTACATTGTTTGAACTTTTTGTTGTATTATGTTATGGTTTGATAGGGGACTTGAGCCTATAGTCTATAATTATTTTATTATGATGTATTGTTTTGAAAGTTGAAGATGACAAGTTTATAATTTAGTCTTCATGGTTTTAATTATATTTAATTCATAACACGTTGTATGTTTTTTAGTTTTTAATTTTTTAATGTTAAAAATGAATCTAATATGGCATGACAGGTGATATTTTTTTATCACATTATTTTTTATAACAAAAATAGTTAAAAAAAATCATGGGAGAGACTATATTAAAAAAAATTGAAAATAGAACAATATAATAAATAAATAAATAAAAAGAATAGAAAGAGTATATTTAAAAAATATAAAGAAAAGTAGAAGAACGCTGCTTGAAAATAAGTCCATCATTTACGCCAACCATCTCTTTAATGAATGGTTCTTGAAAAGACTAGACTTGGATGTGTCACGAATAAAGATGTTGGGACGAGATGAGTGCTATTTCGCTTCCTAATATCTTTGATTTCAGTGGATCACGTCATGGAAGTTGATGGCTTTCAACCTGCCTGTCTGGCTTGGCTCATGATCTGGACCGGTCTTTTTTTTTTTTTTTTTTTTATGAAAGTCAGAGAGATGAATTAAAAGGACTAGCTAGCAAGAAAGTGGTTAGCAATTTACAGTGTTAGATACAAAAACAATTACATTAATGAATTTGATTTGATACAGGAAGATACCATATATCCTTCCTAATTGAAGTAGAATGATACAGAGTTCAGTATAAAAGGAAAAAGAGAATCATATATACACACACACAAAACTAGAATTACTATTATTTTCTAATAAGAGAACTTACTCCATTGTTCAAAGGACTGATCAGAAACCACATCTCGATTTAATCTTGAGCTCGATTTTTGTCTGTGTTCTCATTTAAAAATCTTAGATACTCATGCAAATTGTTGATGCCGATGCCAAGATTGGATATTATTAAACTTACACAGTGGTCCCCTTTACATTATTGATTTGCAAAACACATTATCTTCAGAATTATTTATCAGTTATGGTATGGCTGCTATAAAAACAAACCTGTTGTGATCTTTTTAACGGCAGACGCCAAATCTTGAAAGAACAATCAACAGGTATTCTAATCCATATTTATTTTTATTCCAAAAATAAAAATATTTTTGGATTAACTTACACAACAATTATTATTAATCATTGATATTAAATTACATAAAAAAAAAATGTTAAAAACTCCCGAGTCATTCAACCTCGATCCAGAAATCATTTTATTATTCCCCTTCCTTCTCTACCTTTGCTGCAGTTGACGAAGGCAACAAAATGGATGCCTCATCTTCCTCTTTCCTCTCCGCGATACAGCCTTCAAAGCTCCTCATCCGTACCATGACCATGCCTAAATCTTCTGTCACAACCACACCATCATTTCTATCCCCTCATGTTCCTCTCCTAAATGTATCATCGGTTAGAATTGAAGAAAAAACGCAAAATTCAAGTAGTAGTAGTAGAAGTACTTCACGCCCTGCATCATCAACGACATCCTTCCCTGCTGCTGCAACAGAATCGACAAAGAAATATCCTGTAACCAACAGACGAGTACCAGAACCAACCCTGCCCTCCATGATGTTCAATGTATTGGACGGGCTCATAAACAGCTTCATAGACCCTCCGCTTCGGCCATCAGTGGATCCTAGATATGTACTTTGTGATAACTTTGCTCCAGTTGACGAACTTCCTCCAACCGAGTGTGAGGTGATCCAAGGATCTCTTCCACCATGCCTTGATGGTGCTTACATCCGCAATGGCCCAAACCCGCAGTACCTCCCTCGAGGACCTTACCACTTATTTGATGGTGACGGCATGCTTCACTCCATCAGCATCTCCCAAGGGAAAGCCACTCTCTGCAGTCGCTACGTCAAGACTTACAAATATAACATGGAGCGTGATGCTGGGGCCCCACTTCTTCCAAATGTCTTCTCTGGATTCAATGGACTCACTGCCTCCGCTGCTCGCGGTGCTCTCTCTGCTGCTCGAATTCTAGCTGGTCAATTTAATCCTGCTAAGGGCATCGGTCTAGCAAACACTAGCCTGGCTTATTTTGGCAACAATCTCTACGCACTTGGCGAGTCGGATCTACCTTATGCTGTGCGTTTGACATCAAATGGAGACATACAGACAGTGGGTCGTCATGATTTTGCTGGGAAGCTGCTGATGAGCATGACTGCTCACCCCAAGATAGACTTAAAGACAGGCGAGGCCTTTGCTTTTAGATACGGTCCCCTTCCTCCATTTCTAACGTACTTCCGCTTCGATGCAAATGGAAATAAACAGCCAGATGTGCCCATATTCTCCATGACCAGCCCTTCTTTCCTCCATGACTTTGCAATTAGCAGCAAGTATGCTATATTTGCTGAAATACAGATTGGGATGAACCCCATGGAAATGGTGTTTGGAGGAGGCTCACCTGTGAGTTCGGACGCAGCAAAAGTACCTAGGCTTGGAATCATTCCTCGATATGCAAAGGATGAGTCAGAGATGAAATGGTTCGATATGCCCGGGTTCAACATCATACACGCAATCAACGCATGGGATGAAGAGGATGCCGTAGTCTTGTTAGCGCCAAACATTTTATCAGTAGAACACACACTAGAGAGAATGGACCTTGTCCATGCCCTGGTTGAGAAAGTGAGAATAGACTTGAAAACAGGTATAGTTACAAGAAACCCAGTTTCCGCTAGAAACCTAGACTTTGGGGTGATAAACCCAGCTTATCTCGGGAAAAAGAACAGATTTGTGTATGCAGCAATAGGTGACCCAATGCCAAAGATATCAGGGGTGGTGAAGCTGGATGTGTCCAAAGGAGAGCGGCAGGAATGCACAGTGAGTAGGAGGATGTATGGGCCAGGATGCTACGGTGGTGAGCCATTCTTTGTAGCAAGGGAGCCTGAGAATCCAGAGGCAGAGGAGGATGATGGGTACTTGATGTCATACGTTCATGATGAGATGGCAGGAGAGTCCAAGTTCTTGGTGATGGATGCAAAATCACCTGAGCTTGATATTGTGGCTGCCGTGAAGTTACCTCGGCGGGTTCCTTATGGTTTCCATGGACTTTTTGTGAAGGAAAGCGACCTGAAAAAGCTGTAGCAGAAGCAGATAGCAGGAATTGTACTAGTTACTTCTACTCCAGCGCTACAGAAAGAAAAACAAAAACGCATCAGGGATGGAAATCATAAACTATCTTCGGTTCAGGATTAAATTGTATCCATTACAAAAGCAATCGTCTTGCTTTTTTTTGCATACCTACTAATAATAACAATATTGATCGTCATGGATTTTACTAAAAATCAGGATTTTTTTTCTCTTGCACTTACAGAAAATTATATTGGCTGGCTGGATTGATGTGAAAAAGAAATCAAGTTCACCAATTGCCTCGCTTATATTTTACGTCCAACTAAATCAATCTTTGTCACGGAGTTGCAAAGCAATGAGTCACACAAGAACCAATAATGCATCCTAAATATAATAAAACTGATTAAAAATATAGTCATCAAAAGAAAAGGAATTAGAATTCAAAAATTAAATTAAAAAATTAGGTCAACATTAACAAAACATCTGTCATCTCCATCCATCACCATCTATGTAGCCCTGCCACAATCGTGAGGTTAGAATCTTCAGCTGTCATCTCCATCCATCACCATCAATAACCGTGCCCATTCTGACCTCTATCAATTGCAAATATTTAACAGAAAAGCTAACGGATGTCCAAAAATTCACTTAATTTGAAATACTTAGTTTAAAAAAAAATTAAATTCTAGGCACTTAATTGTAAAAGTCATCAAGGTTCTGACAGTTGGATGCCCATTATCTCGTAGAATTACTATATTGCCGTTACATTAGAATGCGGTGGGCAGTTGGCCTTTTAAATGCCCTTCACGAAAGCAAAAGTAGAGCATCAGATTACATAAACCAATCTAGACCATCTGACATAAATAATAAAAATCTGGTTCGCTTTTCTAGGACTTCTCGAACTAAAACAAAACTTATCCAGGAATTTCAATCCGTAGTTTTTTTCCTTGTCTTCTTCTTATCTTTCTTTATTTTTTTATTCGTTTGTACTTTTTGAAGAATATTTTCCTTATCTTTTTGGAAGCAAGCAAAGTGTGATTTGAGAAAATTAAATCCACTAGATCTTTGAGACACTGCTTTTCTCATTCCATAGTTTGCTAATCCTATTTCATAATTTTTTTTATTGTCTATGCAGACCGAGTTATCTCTAATAAATTTTTTTTTTTTACAAATGATAATAATTATATTATTTTTTTTACAGATTATAATATTAAATGATGATACTGTATTTATATCTAAAAATGTATAGTTCATCGAAAGTCTTCTATCTTATTATTATTACTATATTCAAATTTTATATTTTTTTAATCATTACCTATAGCATTTCTTAGAAAAAGTTGTTATACTACAATTTTTATTTTGTTAAACATTTTTTTTCAAATATTATCCACTAATAAAATATTTATATATTGCAAGAAAAATAATAGAGTAATAAAAATTTTGACCTCTTCCATTTTTGTATACTTCTTTTTTTAATTAATTTTGAATCTTAGTAATAAGATACTTCATAATTATATTAAAGATAAAAACGATATAATCTATTAATAAAACTCATAATAAATATGAAGTGAGATTTACAATTTATGGAGTGGGAATATTACCATTTAAAGATGGATGTTTGTATATATAACGCAAAAAATTCACACAAGTAATTCGCCCTTAATTAAGCAGCTGTAATGGACCAACAATTGTATTGTGAACCGATAATTCCTTTTATAAAGTAAATCATAAGGTGATTAATTACTTTGTGTTCCTAATTCAAGAGCTAGCTTATAATGTATGAGTCATATCGTCTACTTTAATTTTATGGGTGGATTAATTGCATCAAATGTATCTTTATTTTTTAATTTTTTTTAATGTGGTCTTTATTCTTAATTTTTTTAACGCATTCCTTTACTCTCTAACTTTTATTAATATGCCTATATTATGCAAGAAATGTAGTTTTTTTTAAAAAAAGTTTAACGCACTTTGTTGTCAGAAATGCAACAAATGTGAAAAACATTACATTTCAACCAATCCTCTTTAAAAATGATTTTTATATTCAATACCCTTCAAACAACCAGTAATTCTTTATCCTTAGCAATGCTACAATCATCAAATTCAAAGTAGACGTCTTCACAAATGTGTCTATGCACATGCAGAATATCACCTCAATTCTAATACTAAATTGATATTAGTTAAATAAAGATGAAACCAACCCCCATAACACAATTAGAAACAACAATTAAATCAAAATTCACAAGAAAAAATTTAGCAAGCAACAAGCCTCAAACTCTCACAAATACAATCCACAAATTAATATCACACAAGCCAAAACCAACAAATCCACATAAACAAAAACCAAATCACACAATTTTGAAAATCCAACAAAGCCTCAAATTCTGCAATAGGCTGAAACCCTAATAATATTTGTCATATAATTCTAAAATTTTAACCACTCATAGTTAAAATATAGAAGAAGTTATGGTTCAAAATTCAAATCAATTCAACAACTCTAGCTCCAATTTTATTATTGCCAAAACTTACACACAATTAACTAAAGAGTTGAAACAAATCCCAGCTTCAATTCATCAATAATACTACACTATGCTATGGCTATGCTTCCTATGTTACTAATAATTTTGCAACCCTTCTTTCTCAGTGTTTTGATTGTTTAATCATTCATATTTTAGTTCACATTCAATATTTTGATTGCATATTAGCATAATAAACCAAATTACTAATCTAGATTAACCATTGTTGCGAACTCTTGTCCTTGCAATCCAACTAGCTTGGGTAGGTCGTGAACTTTTACCAAAGATGTTTAGATCGATTGTAATCTGTTTAATTTAGTTTATTTTTAAGATAAACACCAAAAATACAATGAGAATCGGTAATAATACATTTAGAATAGTTAATTCGGTTCATCTACTAATGAGTTTGAAAGATAAACTATCCTACGTACTACTATCCAACTATTTTTTTTTTCACTCTTTTGTTACAAAATTTTTTTTAGTTAAGGTCGAGCGGAAAAAAAAATCCAATCATTATGTACAAAAAAAAAATTAAAATGTTAATGCATATAGTAACATTTGAATCCATCACAGTCTGTTAATAGCGAATAAACCCTTCATTATTAGATTAATTCTATCAATTTGATAATTATTTCATTTTAAAACAAATAAGAATAATATTGGAAAGTAGCTGATGAAATATCATATTATTAATTATACTTTTTTAATCCGTGTAAAAATTCAAATGTACATATAACCTATTTTTTGTCCAGAGAGGGCCCCGCCCCCACGCCCCCAACCACCACATACAACGACAGCGATATTTACAATTTGCCAATAAAATAATAGGAAATGGACGCATTAAAATAAGAGGGGTGAGTGACACTGATAATGGAGGAGTAAAGGAATACAATGGAGCCCCACTCCTAGCTAGGCTGACCTAGAAATGGATGGACGAGAGGAATTAATCAGCCAAAGAAGCACGGAGAGGATAAGTTAGGATAGTGGAAATATTATTTGGTGCAAAAAAATCCAAAACGTCCTATTCGCATTAGCGTGAGTAATAGCCGTTATGGCCGTAGGGTATCTGATATTAGGCCCATTCCAAATCTGGGCCTAGGCTATGAAGAATCAAGTGATCCTGCAAAAATAATATTTCTTTCATGTAGAATGATACTAAATGGTACAAGACGAACAAAATCTTAAGCATCTTAATTTCTACCAAACCCCAAAATAACGGGACAAAGAATTAGAAGAAAAGAACAAATAATTTCCTCAGCCTCTCAATGAAATTACTTGAACAAAAATCGACAGCATGTAGTATAACGTTGTACATCACTGTATATGAATCCATGTTTCCAATCACGTTTCATCTCACTATTCCTATCCACTTGCCTGTCCGCAGAGTAGGGAAAAAAAAATCTGTCAATGAAATTTGAGTCAAAATGACATGCAATAAAGTGTTAACTCAGACGCTTTGCATGAAATGGTCACAGGGCCTTCTCCGATCAATCCTGCAATACTACTTGACGGTGCAAGGGCATCGGATCATTATCAGTTAAGAAGTGGCATAACATATCAATTACTTGAACCAGTGAAGTTAGTAATCTCCCTACGAGCAGCAAGCTTGTTTAAACAGGATCCACTTGCAACGCAAGCCAGATAGCAGCTGCCGAATCACCCTCAATCAGAATCTGCCGGAGTCAATGATCATGCCAGCTTTTATCAATATACCCACAATGGGATTAAACCCTGTAATGTGAATGCAACAAGAGATTAAGCAAACAAGATACACACAGGTTTGACTTCTCTACATAACTCAGTTGCATGAGAGGCAAACTGATCAAAAAACAAAACAGGACAAAGCTTATAACAGAGCAATTGATGCCAAGAAATGTACCTAACTATATTTTGACCACCTGGGGCAGGAATGTTCCTCCGTAGTTTTTACTGCCTTTTATCATGTATCTATTTTGAAGACACTAGCATATGTCATTTCTACAAGCTTTGAAAGGAATCAATGCGTTGGTAATTTTCATAATCACAGCTCGTAGTCATTGATAAACATAACTATTCCTCAAATTCACAATTTTAATTCCTTCAATTTTCCTTAGATAACAAGGAGGCTTGGACTAGAAATTTCAGAGAATTGCTTCATGCAACACACTAACTCCAATCCCTTCCCTTTAACCAACAAAAATTGGAAGGCTGATGTCCCTTCTAGTGTCAGAACATTTATTCGGCTCATGGTCCTTAATAAGAAAAAAACTGATGATGTTTTTGGTAGACAAGCAGAAAAAAATAAAGTACTGCCCCCTGCTGGCATGTGTTGCACGCATGTGTTATTTGGCAACTAATGGATTAGACAACATCCTTTAGAAAGTTTCAGATAACCTATCGGACCATTCCAAAGGGGGTTTTTTCATTGATATTCAGCAAAAACGGAAATAGAAATTTTTATTGGTTTTGCTTTTCCTTATGGAAGATGTTAAACATCTTATCCTACCTTTTGTATTATTTCTTTCTATTCCTTCATGAAATTCCTTACTTTGTCTAAAAAAATGGTGACCTCCTTTCTACATGCATTCTGATTTTAAACAGGTACATCTCTTTTGAGTGTGTAAAAAGAAACCTAGATTCCTTTTGAATGCAGCATCATGAGAATATGTTCATGCAAGAACCATCTTATCTGCAGATTGAGCAGTAGTAATACATTTGATCCAATTTTCAGCTGAAGTTTGTTCCTCATGCTACAAAGAATGCCTAGAATTGAAAAAATAAGAACCATTGGCTGAAGATTGTCGAGTCCTTTCCTGTGCGAAAAATGTAATTTGGAAAGAAAGAGACGGACATACCTTCAGAACATTATGCTCTAAACCTTCGTCATGTGTGCATCAGCCAATGAAGAATTGAGGTCTTCTCGAGATTGTGATCTCCTGCTTTGAAGACGCATCTGACCTCTATGTGGGGCCCAGAAGGAACCCATGCTACTGCTCTCACTCATTTGTCCTAAGCTACTCGAGGAATAGCTGTGTGAAACACTGTTAGTTGATGGGTATGGGGAAGATTCCATGAGCTGGATGCCACTATCACCTAGACTGTCTCCCAAGCCGAATGGTCTTTGTTGACTACCTGCAACTGTTGGACTCAGTGGCATCTTTACACGTCCATCCCCTGAAGTACCAAGTTGAAACCGCTTCAAAAATTGAGCAAGGGAAAAAGAATCTAGAGCAAGATATTACTTTCCAAACTATTCTTTCTTTTCTTTTCTTGTTTTAGCGCTTGCTCTTTTTAGCATGAACTATTCTCCAAACTATTTTTTCTACTAATATATTCTACTTTTCTCCAAAAAGATTATGGGAATGACCACTGAACTAAAATGTTCCAGGAACTTAAACCCTTACAAACTTAGCCCGAACTACTGCAGCATAATCTAATATTCACTGCCATGAGTTTCATGGAAATCAAGCTCTCAAACAGAATAAATAGCAATTAAATTCATCAAAAGAATTTCAGAAGCTGGGCATAGTAGCCTATTTCAATGTTTTTAAATCCAAGTAACTTCGCTAATTTGTATAACTACACAAATAAATAAGTGGGTCCTTTGCAGTCCTGCCAAGACACAGCACCATGAATGAATCAAACAAATAAAGACAGCATTCCTCCAAAATTTCCCTGAAGAATCCATCTGTGTACCAGAATCCTACCAGAACCAAGAAAAAAGCTAACATCTTGAAATCAAATTCCAAACCCTAAATTCCACTAGAAAACACAGGGAAGAATTTACTTCAAAATTAGTGTTTTTTTTGCCCTCTATTTTTGTTTATTTTCGAAACAAAGCATCTGCCGTCTCAATTAAAGATGCAATTTTAGTGGTTACATTGTTATTTTAATTATTTGGTTTTTGAAACAGAACAAGTATTTGTTGTATATCTGCACATCAAAATCATGAATTTTGTGTACCGAACTAACCAACATATGATCTTTTGACATCAATTCTTGAAAGAAGCACATATGTGCATGACAATATATCCCTTACATTTTGGTTGTGGTGTGTAGGCAAATTAAATATTTAATTTCACAGTTCAGATTGCAAGGGTTGAGATAAAACCTCTGACCGTATGTTATGAAGTTAAGCCTACGATGTCTTTTACTGTCCCTCCATGGCAGGAGGAAAAATGTGTGAAGGATTACAACATGACTTCTCCTTTCAAAGATACACATAATAGAGAAAAACAATTATGCTCCCATATTATAGAGACAATATAAAAGCTTACCAGAACTGATAGGACTCCAACGTCGGAATCGGAAAGGAGATGGGATGCTAAGAACAGATGTGGCAGATGCACTGTTATGCCTGAAACGCGAGAGATATGGTCTCCAGAAAAATCTTGGCATCCAATTGCCAACAGATGATAATGCGCAAACAAGCACAATCAATGATGTAAGCAAAATGGCAATAAGAACCACTGGATGTATCTTAATCTGGAGTATTTCATAGTTATGAAGCTTCAATCTAGTTGAAAATGCTCTCCCAGCTTCCAACAGGGCAACCCCAAGAGTCCAAGTAATACTTCCAGAACCAATGATAATTTGGTTCTCTGTAATGTGTAAGCCCTCTCTCAACAGTAACACTATATATGGTGCCCTGAAACAGTATTGTTCAATAAAGGGCTGTGGAGGAACACTGTTCTTCGCAACTTGCCAATTCTTTTCACAGAATTCTCGACCCTTTTCCAAAACATCATCAAGCGCAGCTTCTGAAGTCAGGTTGAAAAATCGATACACCACAAAAAAGCCAGACATACCATAGAAGTGACCGTAAGGGCGTGGGAGATTTGGAGGAAGAGCGCAAGGTTGCAAATCACAATCAATTCCAGGGTCTTGAGCAGACCATTCAGACAAATTAACAGCAATTTTAGCAAGTGCATTGCATTCTTCCCAATTTGGGGCACCGATAAGCTGTACAGGAATTCCTGACTTAACTCGGTTACCCAAATTTCTTCCTCTGATAACAGGACTCACTCCATCTTGTTGTTTAGAAACACACCGAGAACAAATGTATTGCTCTTTATAGCCAGACTGAAGGCAAGGGTGTCTAATTTCTATGTTCCCACTACCTAGATCTCCATTAGAACGCTTCTTTAATATATGTGCAACAGATTTGTCAAATGCATCATTTAAACCATAGCCTGCAAGAGAATAGGCACTGAGACGATGATTAACCGCTCCAATTCTAAGACTTAGGCTAGTCTCATTATGAACATGTTTCTCACTCTCGAAAGTAACTTGTAATGACGAGCCACCCATATCAAGTGCTCCAAATGTTGCTTTCTTGGGGCTTGCCCCTAGCACACCCTTGTGATGGTTAAGGGCTATCCATCCGTAGTAAGCTTCCTCTATGCCGCTGATGATCTTAACCCATTCTCTCTGGCACAAGAAAGGTGATTCCTTCAGAATAGACCATGTCTTGTCTAGAAGCCATTTGGAATCTGCATTGGGAAGTCTACGAACTCCAGCCGTAGCACAAAGAAAAAGAGAGGTAGTCTTATGCGCTTGCTGGGGAATTTGCTTCTCAGCCCACCGAACAAGTGGGTTAATTGCAGCCTTTAATCCAGACGTGTTACGTACCAACATGTGAAGCCCAGGCTCAGTCTCCATTCGATCGTATGCACGTCCATTAGGCTTTCTTGAAACACCTTCTGTGTATGATTTCAGGACGATTGGGAGACCACCATCTGAGTAGTGATCAATTGATGCCTGGTATACATAGACTCTAGTTCCAGTACTTCCACAGTCAAGAACAACATAGAACCTGGATGCTCCTTGAGACCAATAAGAATAAACATATGCTGTAACCAGATAAGTTAAGAAAGCAAAGAGTAGTAAGCACAAGAAAATCAAGAGCAACTGCACCCACTTCCTCCGCAAAACTGGAGTTCCACAAGGCAATGCTTTCTCCTTAGAGAAACTTGACCCAGCATTTTCTCTCTGCAAGGAACGAGGTTTCCTGTCAACTCCAAGGTTGAAGTCCCCTTGTTCAAGATCAAGACGACTATATGATGAGAAATCTTGGAGAGATGAAGAAAGTCGCAAGTTGTTGTTCTTGGGTGCAGAGTTGGAAAAAGTGAAGCCATGACCAGTGGTTTCTGGTGGAGGCGACAATCCAGTTGGCATATAAGGCAAAGCAGAAGATTTTGAGGGTGACAGGCGACTTGTTGCAGCAGAAACTAGATCTGATATTCTACCGAACACCATACTTGCAGAGAAAGTGTGAGTACATGAGAAATTTGCTTCATCCAAGGCATGCAACTGATTTGGTTAGGAATTAGGTTCCTGCAGCAGACTGTGGCACTTGAATTAATACCTATACACCTCTACAGACAGAGAAGAAAGAAAATGGGTGGGCTCAACTTGAGTGTAGTTGTAAAGGCAAAAGGAAATGCGTTAGCATCAGTGTAGTATGCTTAACGAAACTGCATTGCTAAATGAAAATTGGAATTAATGTCTTCTAAACGGAAATTTGTTGATAATGAAAAGGGATCTTTATATATATATATATATATAAAGAAATAAAAGAAAACGGAAGTGATGTTGCTGTATTCGCGGGGTTTAATATGAAAAGATTGTAGCTTTTGATTCCCAACCAAATAAAAGAGTCAGTAAGCTTCCAATGCAATGCTGTGGGTTTGTCAAAATGATGATGGAAATCTAAATCTATGGACTACATATATAGAGAGAGTAGAGGAAATATTAGAAGAAAAGGCAACAAACAACACATATTTCTTACTTACAGTTAGGAGTTAGTCTCAAGTGATCGATCACTCATCATTGTGATTGGGATTGGGATTGGGATTGATATTGATTATTATCATCATCATTAACAAGCAGCAGTAAAATCAATCAAATCACAGTGCTGAAAACCTAGAAAATTAAAGAAAGATTAATGCTTTTCTGCAAAAAAAGAACGTTACCTTGATGGACGGAAGGAAGGATCATGAAATAGAATTATTCCTCAACTACTTTGCTTTGTTCAATTTTGTTTTGCAGGAAACGACTACTACTTCGTACGACTAGGTAGAGTAGAATAAGATCAGAAAAAAAGAAAAAAAGAAACTTTCTTCTTCTTCCAGTTGGGTTTCCAATTTCAGATCCAATCCAATCGAGTGGACGAAAAGACGAGATCGCCTGCCTGCTGAAGGAACAAGGGAAGAAAGAAGAGAACAACTATAACAATCTCTCTCCCTCCCTCTCTCTCTCTCTCTCTCTCTCTCTCTCTCTTTATTTCCGGGTATTTTGTTCTTTCAAGTTTGAACTCTACTATCCACACTATTTACATGATATACCCCTTTAGTCTCCCTCTTTTATATTTTGGACCCCAAAAGTTTTAGCCACAACCCAGGAACAAATAGGGATGATGATGAGCACGAGCTCCTCCTCCTCCTCTGTTCAAGTTCATGTAGCAGCACCCTTTCATTTGGAAAAATGCCAATCCATGTCTCAGCTGAGGCAGCATCATTCCCAGATCATCCGACTCGGCCTCTCCTCTCATAAGCATCTCATTCCCCCACTCCTCAACTTCTGCGCACTCTCTGATACCACCGACGCTCTCACCTATGCTCTCAAACTGTTCGATTCAATTCCCCAACCAGATGCTTTTCTTTACAACACCATCATCAGAGGATTCCTTCATTCCCAATTACTACCCACTAACTTCATCCTTCTTTTCTACTCTCACATGTTGCAAAACTCCGTTTTACCCAACAACTTCACTTTCCCTTCTCTTCTCAGAGCCTGCAGCAACATCCAACACGGAAAGCAAATCCATGCGCACCTTTTCAAATTCGGTTTTGGAGCTCATAGGTTCTCTCTCAACAACTTAATTCATATGTATGTCACCTTTCAAGCATTGGAGGAAGCCAGGAGGGTCTTCCATGCCATACCTCACCCTGATTCTGTCTCCTGGACTAGTTTGATTTCTGGGTATTCAAGGTGGGGATTAATTGATGAGGCTTTTACGATCTTCCAACTCATGCCTCAGAAAAATTCTGCTTCTTGGAATGCTATGATAGCTGCTTATGTTCAGACCAACCGCTTCCATGAAGCGTTTGCTTTGTTTGATAGGTTGAAAGCAGAGAATATTGTATTGGATAAGTTTGTGGCGGCTACTATTTTGTCTGCTTGTACCGGATTAGGTGCTTTAGAGCAAGGGAAGTGGATACACGAATACATTATGAGGAATGGGATTGAATTGGATTCCAAACTCGCTACTGCTATTATTGACATGTATTGCAAATGCGGTTGCTTGGAAAAAGCTTTGCAAGTTTTTCACAGCTTGCCATTGCCTTTTAGAGGGAATTCTTTTTGGAACTGCATGATTGGAGGGTTAGCAATGCATGGTAAAGGAGAGACTGCAATTCAACTTTTCAAAGAGATGGAGAGACAGATGGTAGCTCCTGATAACATCACTTTTCTGAATCTCCTCACCGCCTGTGCGCATTCAGGGTTAGTTGAGGAGGGGCGTCATTACTTCTGTTACATGATCCGAGTTCATGGACTTCAGCCCAGAATGGAGCACTTTGGATGCATGGTTGATTTACTTGGAAGAGCTGGAATGGTGCAGGAGGCGAGAAAGCTTATCGATGAGATGCCTCTGAGTCCTGATGTCACTGTTCTAGGCACTCTTCTTGGAGCCTGTAAGAAACACAAAAACATCGAGTTGGGAGAGGAAATGGGGAGAAGAGTTATTGAACTGGAACCTAACAATAGTGGACGCTATGTATTGTTAGCCAACTTATATGCCAACGCTGGTAGATGGGAAGACGTTGCTAAAGTGAGGAAACTGATGGATGACAGGGGAGTGAAGAAGGCTCCAGGCTTTTCCATGGTTGAGCTACAAGGTACTGTTCATGAATTTATGGCAGGTGAAAGAAATCATCCTCAAGCTAAAGAATTGCATGCCAAAGTTTATGAGATGCTGGAACGTCTAAAATCTGTTGGCTATGTGGCGGATAACAATGGACGAGAGCTGCATGGCCATGACCTTGATGAGGAGGAGGAGAGAGAGAACCCATTATACTATCACAGCGAGAAACTTGCCATTGCCTTTGGGCTTTTGAGGACTAAATCTGGGCAAACTCTTCGTATATTAAAAAACCTGCGAATTTGTGAAGATTGTCACCGCGCATGCAAACTTATTTCAAGCGTTTTTGATCGAGAAATAATTTTAAGAGATAGAAATCGGTTTCACCATTTTAAAATGGGCCAGTGCTCCTGCCAGGATTACTGGTAAGAGTGAGTGGTGATGGTGCTGATCCTTTTTATGGACCTTGTATATCTAAATATTCCACTAGTTATATAAGAAGAAAGTGAATTCAAATTAAAGAATTGAAACGATATTTTTATTCTAATATCGAATTATAATAGTATTTGAAAGTGATTTTTAAAACCAATAAAAATAATAATTTAGTTAATTATAATAATAATAATAAATTATAATGACGATTGCAGCAGTAGCATTGGTAGAAAAAGTGATGTATTAATAGCAGTTTCATAATAATAATAATAATAATATATTTTTAAAAAAAATTAACAACACGACCAAAGAAAGTAATAGTAAGAGAAATATAATAATTTGTATAGTGAAAATGGTGGCAATAATAAAGAGAAACCAGTGATTAAATAATAATAATAATAACTTTTTTTTATCACCACCATCAATGGCATAGCAATTGCAACAAGTGATGATAGAAATAATTAATACACAATAAATAAAAACAATACAATATTATTTTTCTTATTTGTTATTTTTATTTTCATCTCTCTCCAAATAAATTTATATTTAATTTTCATTATTATTTCATTTTTTTCAACTAAACACCTACAACATAGAAACAAAACTTTTGTTCTCCTTCTTACCCTTCCATGACCTTCCATTTCTTTTACCTAAACAACACCTAAAGACATGTATATTTAAACTGAACGGAGACATAATACATGGAAGTTGTTTTACTACAAAATACAGTACTTTCAACAAGTTGGTCATCAGAAATTACATAACATCTCGTTCTGTGTTCTTAATCAACGGATTTTGTCGGGGACGATGCACTAGGAAAGATGTATCCTCTATGGTACGCGCCCTTGTTAATTGATGCATCTTTGTGAATGAATGGTTCCGACGGCCGGGTGCTAATGTGATGTGTCAGCCCAGGAGCTGTTTGTCTTTCTCTATATGATGCCCAAGTGACCAAATAGAGACCAGAAATGATTAGGAACCCTCCTATAAGGCTGTTTTGACGAGCACCAAAAAAAAAAAAAAAAATGGGTACAAAGTCAGCTTCCTTCTTGCAACAGCAATTACCATCCGAACCATATCTATAGCAAAATATAAGCATGAGCATATTATAATCATTATGAACAAATTGAAACATCATTTTGTATGCTTGCATAGCATACATGTAATATGTGTAAGCAAATTAATCAATTAACTGCGTCAAAATTTGAAAGGAGGTAACTGAAGCATAACCTTCCCAAATAAACAGGGCTTCCAAGAAAAACTCTTGACAGAAAGGCAGATGCTGCAGGTTGAAGTGGATTGTAGAGTGCAACCAAAGCAGGCCCCAAGATCTTATTGGACCATGTCAGCAGGCCATAATTAATGGCAGATGCAACAACCCCCTGAGAAAAATCAAGACTAAATTTAGATAAAGCTTGCACTTGAAGGTTACACACTAGACAGAACTAATTTAGATTTAAAACGAGAAAGGGAGGGTAGGGCAATTATATGACTTGTAAAGAAGCAGGTAAAAAGAACTACCATCTGTTATAGATGACTGCTGATGCAAAACTTTAAGCCAACCGGAGAAAATCGTTCAGTCAGCAAAAAGAGGGCCAAGGATACATAATTGCATATACAGTTCCTAAGATGATCAAATGGTTTTGTTCAGCTTATGGAAATGGAACATATGGCCCTTTGAAGCCATGGAAGTGACTGCATTTGCCTTGGGGGTTACAACTTACAAAGGAAAACTCGATAAACAGAAGAGATAACAAGGAAATGAACATTGAGGATGCAATGTTAGTTAAACTTAAAATCAGTCCACCGTTATCTGCCTGACAAGGGTATTACATTCTTTTCTCTGTAGAAGAAGTATCACCCTTCTGATTTCTAGTTCTAGTTTAAAATGTCAAGCTTGACCCAAAAGGCAAAGCATGTTAAAGTACTCTTCAGACTTCAAGTTTAGGTACTGATATGAGAACAGGAAATATTTTGAAATGCAAAAACAAAAAAAAAATTCCAACTTCAATATAACACCAAAAGGAAACTTACTGCATAAATGACTGCCAAACATTCAGATTGCGTCAAACTCCAGTCTGTTGATTCATTGGTCATAAATAATGCTGTTAACACCATCAACAGAGCTCCAAAAGCATACGAATACGCTGTGACTGATAGGCTGGTTGGATACTTCACTAAAACGGGAGCCTGGAAGTTTTCCAAACTATGAACATCATCAAATATAAACCATTAAAATCTAAAAGCAAATAAAACTAAGAAACACAAAGGTTTTTAGCATTAAAAGATGCAAGCAAGCAAGATATCATGGAACTAAAGCTTAATAAATGTATTGGATTTAGAAATTATTTTAACAATTTTGCAACATTCAAATCCTAAGAATGGTGTGAAATTCAGGTATGAAGTGTTGTTGAATTTTCATTAATTGAGAGGTATATAGAAACACAACGGTGCCCAGAGTTGTAATTAGAAAGATTATCTTCTGATCCAGGTTCTTCAAAAGTGATTCAACTTTTACAAGGTGAGGGGGTTGGACCTTTGAATTTGTGAAAAACACAGTGGTCTATCATGCACAGGTATAACAGTATGATGCTGTACCTGAATGGCTAGGAAAACAGCCATGCACATGCAATTCCCTATCAAGCATAAAACTCCAAGGTGCCAACTTTCAAGGCCAAAGTCCAAAAAGCTAGACAAGAACCACCCAGCAGGCTCAGGTTGACCCCTAGCGCTTATTTCACTTGACACAAAGTCTAGTTCCCTAAATCCAAATACAGCAGGACCACGGAAGAGAACCATCAATATGGCACCAGAAACACAGATAAGGGTACCCCCGACCTTTGCTTGACCTTCAGTTGTAAACAAATTCAGCCTTTCAGTACTGCAAGAGCATATATGGACAATGGTTCATCAAATTTTGAAACAAAAGCAACCTCGTGAATTGAATTAAATTATGTTGAATAACAAGTAGAGAAAAATGGATAAAAACTAACCCCATCATCACAGCCAGAAGAAAGGTAAAGACTGGAATTGCAGGCTGGATGGCAGCAGCATAAGTTGGATTTGTGTAGCTAAGACCAAGAAGAAATAAAAGCTGGTTGCCAAATATCCTAGCAAAAAAAGGAATACATTATTGATTAGGCAGGATGTTGTTATTTGTAGAGCAAAATAATATTAAAAAGGAAGGATTAATTAAGAGAAGAAAAACAAGCTTACCCAGTTAAGCCAAGAAAGAAAAATGACAATAGGAGTGGTTTAGTCAAAGGCTGTCGAATTCTCCTAAAAGAGAAAAAAAAAAGGAAAATGATATACCATCCAGTAGATTCGAATATTAGCTAATCTATCTATCCATTCTTATAAGAAAATAATTAATATGCATGACGATTAAGATGCGATCCCAGGACGAAAAAAAACACAAAAATAAAATAAAATGAAAAAGAAAATACCTTTCGCGAAAATAGGCAGCGGGGGCGAGGATAGCGAGGGCAAGAAGATCACGATAGACACAGAAAACAAGCTGATTGACCCCAACATTGAGAGCCACTTTTGTAATGACGTGATATCCTCCATTGAATAGCTGCACCATCGCCATCGCCGTATGAGCCTTCCATGCCTCTCCTCCTCCTCCAATTCCATTTCCTCCTACTGATGTTGTCATCTCTTCTCTTCTCTCTAGAGAGAGATGTTGTATTATTAAATGGAGTGGCTCTAGTGAAAGAGCCCCAAAAGACCAAAAAAAAAAAACGGAGCAAGGTAGCTGTAGAAGGAAGAGGAAAGCAAGAACTTAAAACGGACACACGAAGAAAACTCTAAGAAAAGCATGTAATGGTATGGTACTAACTTAATGGCTAAAATCATTCCTAGTCCCTTTTCTTTTATCATTTAGTCAAATATACCCCTATAATTTAAAATTAAAAGGCAATTTCAGATAACAGATGCCAGATGACATCGCAATGTGTCATCGTGTATTTGGCCATGGAGTTTGTTGAAAAATAATGGAAAGTAGAGACCTTGATTTAATAAAATTTAAGGTGAAGGATCTGGTTGGACAAAATATGAAAAAGTAGAGGGTCCGTGTCTGATCTTCATCCGCAAACAAATAGTTAAAAGTTGGTGTTGGACGGCTGGTAGGGAATAGGGATTGCTTCCAATAACAGCCTCCCTCTCTCTCTCTCAATTCCTTTGTTTAACAAGCATTAAGGCATATAGATGCATGATGCCGATACATCATCGTCGTCCTCGTCATGAATTTTTATTTTATTTTTATTTTTTTGTCTACTATCTATCCTCTCCTTCTTGGTCTTCATCATCTTCTGCTTCCCTGTCTGTCCATATGCTTTTCTCGTATTTTTCTCCATTTATCCAAAATCCAATCCTCCTTCACTCATTCCCATCCCCTCCCCAATTTCTTTTCTTTTCTTCCAAAATGACCCTTCCTCATCCTTTTCTAATCCAAGCAGCGACAACCACACCCCATAACAATCAATCATTTTCTTTTCTATACAGCTTATAATTAATAACGGGAGGGAGTTACATAAATAAATAAAAGAAAAATGATAAATATCACGATTTGTATTTCACAACTAAATCACAATGGCAAAGCATGAGGTTAACTAACCATATGAAACTTGGTGAATATTTATTTTATATGTAAATTCGCGTTTTATTCGGTAAAAAAAAAAAAATACTAATGCGTGATGTGTAGTATCACTCTAAATAAAATGCAAAACAAAAGCCGATTATTTAATTATTAAAGGTCTACCAAGGTTTAAGCTTCTTTATATTTGCAAATTAATTAATTAATATAATAAAGTAAAACGAGAAATGAACAGTAGAAAAAACAATAATGAACAATATTGATTACTGTTTATTCGTTTTTTAAAAAAATTTAAATTATTTCATTTTAGTCCCTAAAAAATCAAAATAAACATTTTAACGAACACCGTTCATTATTGTTCATTAGGTTTTTAAAATTTTCAAGTTATTTTATTTTAGTT